CCCACCTAAATCCTAACTCAGAAAGATGCAACTTTCTGTTTTTGTTTTCTTCTGTCTCTTTTTGATGTTCATGTAGCAGGTTACTTATTCTGCTACATTGTATTCACAATGGAGCTCCTGATTAGGCAGTAGAAGAGGAGGTGGAGCTGGGAGAAGAAGAGAGGAAGGGGAGGGGAGAAATAGAGGAAGGGGAGAAGAAGGAAGCTATCAGCCACGGAGAACCACGGATGGGTTGAAAGCTGTCCTGGGTAGCAACTTCTATGAAAAGGTTAGATATCAGATAACAACTCTAGGCCGGGCGGTGGTGGCGCATGCCTTTAATCCCAGCACTTGGGAGGCAGAGACAGGAGGATTTCTGAGTTCCAGGCCAGCCTGGTCTACAGAGTGAGTTCCAGCACAACCAGGGCTACACAGAGAAACCCTGTCTCGAAAAACAAAGCAAAACAAAAGATAACAACTCTAATTGTGTGGGCATCTTGTTGATTGAGCATTTCTAAATATATAAATCCTTTAGAAAATCACTAAGCTATGAGTCTCCATTTCTACCCATGTACTGCAAGGATGGCAGATATTGTCTGGGGTTCAGCTGAGCTTTGTGGATGCAGTGTGGTGGATTGGCAGAGCCATCCCCCACGCTGGCATCTCATGGGTGCCAGGGCCTGCGCATCGAGCTAGCCGGAGCCCCGGTCAGAGCTGAGGAGCAGTGGGAACATGGCGACTGCCTGGGAACAAACCGGACCGGACCAGACCGGACCGGGCATCGTTTTCTAAATATCATCCCTACATGCTCAGAACCTAAGTATGCTTTTTCTGATTCTCTGAGCTTCCTTACTAAAGCCTCTTTAGCTTCTCTAAAGCCCCTTTCTATTACATGTATTTTTTTTTAAAATCTACTGCCTTTGCTTGGGAGCTGCCATGCTACCAGCCCCTCCTGGCTCCCTTTTATTTCACCATGTCCTTACCAATTTATTATCTCCATCTCTCATTCTGCCCTAAACATAATGGCTTATTCCACCTAGTCCCTGACAAACATCCTTGGCCACTTGGCCATAGTGGAGGCCACAGGCCCTAGCTCTCCCCCGAAGCCTTACACAATTGTTGTGTCTTTCTTCCTTTCTTCCACCAAAACAGGACAAAAAAGCCCCTCTCCTTCTCCTCTCCTTCCTGAAGTCTGCCTTTTCCTCCTAGGACCCAGAAGTCCCACCTATGTCCACTGCCCAACAACGGGACCCCAACCTTCTTTATTGACAAATCAAGGATCAATTGAGAAACAGGGTTAACATTAGAACCTCTCCTTACACCTTTCTTCTCTGTTATGTGGCTGCCTGCTGTCATGTGGTAGACCTCCCTGCCAGTAACTCAAATGGCATGGCGTTTTTCCTTCCTTGCATGTTCCACTTCAGGGTTAGGGTAACTGCTGAGATTTACAGCTTGTCCTCCCTAGGTTATTTTTCTTTTAAACTCTAATAAAATTGTCCTTGCATTTCAAAAAATAATTAAATGTAAAACCTAGTAAGACAAAAAAAAAAAGAAAAAAAAGAAAAAAAGAAAAGGCAGGGGATTGGGGAGACATGGTTGCAGAAACCATTATCCTAGCACTGAGAAAGCAGAGACGGAGCCAGGTGTGACGGTGTACATTTTTAATCCCAGGATTTGGGAGATAGAGGCCTGCTGGTCTACATATTAAGTTCTAGGAGATTTAATAAGAGAGATCATGTCTTAAAAAAAAAAAAAAAAACACACACACACACACAAAGCAAGCAAGAAGACAAGCTGCAGCAGATGGACCAGTTATAAATCCAAAGCCAGCCAGGGCTACACAGTAAGATCTTATCTCAGAGAAAAAGAAAGGAAGGGAGGGAGGAAACATAGGTACCCAAGGTAACCAGACTGTGTCCCCTCCTCCCATCAGCTCTTAATCTATTAATGTTAGACCTTCTCCTAGGCCGCCCTGGGCCAACTCTCCTTTACCTGAAATTATAACCTGCTAGGACCACTTTACTTTCCACTTGACCTGACTTTATGCTTTTCAACTGATAAAGTCTATAGTTGGAACAGTCATGCACAAAGTCCTTAAGAGGTGGGGCAGGGGCAGAAGTCTATCCTAAGGCCTTCCTGGCCATGAGGGCCTAGACACAGCTAAGTAGCCCAGCCCTCTAAGCATAGCCCTCCAATTTATCATCTCCATCTCTCTGGGCTTCCCAGCATAGCTTAGCCCTCCAAGTCCTATCAAAGTACAAGGTACTAAAACAGTGGTTTTCAACCCTCCTAATGCTGCAACCCTTTAATACAGTTCCTCATGTTGTGGTAACCCCCAACCATAACATTATTTTCATTGCTGCTTCATAACTGCAATTTTGCTACTGTTATGAATCACAATGTAAATGTTTGTGTTTTCCAATGGTCTTAAGAAACCCCTGTGAAAGAGTTGTTCATCCCCAAAGGAGTCTTGACTCTGCTGTACTAGAAGAATAGCTTATGGAAATTGAATTATCATCACAAATTCTGGGTGCCTTAGCATGCATTTGCAGGGGACATATGAGACACTTACTTGGAAAAGATGACCATCAGCTTCCTCCGGCTTCTCTGTGGCTCTGAGTCCTCATCAAACCCATCCATGTCCTTTCCCAGGAAAACTTCCTGATGGAAGTCCTTGTTAAGGTGTCCATCCATCTCCAGCTTCACTCCATTCAAGTGGTCTGGAGGTATGATCTCATTTTCCTCCCTGTTGGGTGCTCTTTCCCGAGTAAATGAGTGGTTGGCAGGTCTAGCAGTTGCATCCATCAGAAGGACAAGGCCTAAGAACCAGAGGCCATGAGTAGCCAGACCACAGAGGGAACTCTGCCTGGGCGTCATTGCCACCAGCCAGACCATAGGATTCCTGCAAGGTGTGAATCAAGAGCTGGAGTAAGAGGTAGCAGCAAGGAAGAGAGGGAAATCACAGCTCAAACTAGAGCCCTGGATACTACAAAGTCTCTGGGATACTAGCACTGCCAAGAAAGCTGAAGGCTGATGGCTGGCTCCACAATCTGACAGTCTACAAAGAAGACAATTTTATGGACTTCTGGTACAGCCTGGTCTCACCTATGTGTGGCAGCTTTCTCCCCTGGAAAGGACCCTGTCTGACTTAGCTTCTTTATCCCGACACTACCAATCTACCAGAATCTAAAACACACTCAACCCTGGAAGTACTACTCAAAAGCATAGAGTAGTAAACAGTATTTTACATTTGAACAGTAAAGGTGTGCCCTGTACAGCCAGGAGCCTGTGCTCCTAGGTCAGGATTTCAAGGAGTTTCACCTTGTCATAGCTCCTATACACACATCACTTTCCAGTAAGTAGTCAAAAGGAAAGCTAGTGACGCCTGCAGTGAAGGTGACAACAGTACCCCTTGACCTACCATCATTCCCAATCAAATGACATTATATCTGTCAAAGTAAGTCACAACTGTTCTATTTTATGATTAGTTGTTAACCTCTGCCTGGGCCTAATTTCGAAATTAAACTTTGCTATACCTATGTATAATAATAAACAGTCTACTCAGGATTTAGTTCCACCTGAGGTTTCAGGTTTCAAGCATACACAGGGTGATTGGGGAAATACTTGTACTTCTTTGCCATCCTTACATTATAATTCTGATGAAACCAGACTATATATTTTGTTTGTTTGCTTGCTTTTGTTTTGAGACAGGGTCTCACTATGTTCCTTGCTTGACCAGGTACTTGCCAAGGCTGGATTTGAAAGTGTGACAATTACAAGCAGGAGAATCAATAGTTCAAGGCCAGCCTTAGATATTAAGTTCAGACAGGCTACATGAAACTCTGTCTCGAAACTAACGATAACAACAATAAAAGAAGAAAAAACGACCATCAAAGTCTAAAAAACAACAGTCTAAAACAGTCCAAAAGCTATTAGGGGGCTGGTGACTTAGCCCAGCAGTAGAGCATTTGACCAGCATTTAAGGTTCTGGATTTGATTTCCTCCAGCAACACAAAAATAGGAATGTAAATAAAGCCTGGAAGTAAAAAATTGAAGTAAAAAAAGCCTTTAATTCTAGCACTTGGGAAGCAGAGGCAGGCGACCTCTGAGTTCCAGGCCAGCCAGAGTTCCGGAGCAACCACTCTGGTCTGCAGAGTTAGTTCCAAGACAGCCAGAGCTACACAGAGAAACCTCATCTTGGAAAACGTCAACAACAAAAAAAGTAAATAAAAGCTCTGTCGATTTAAGAACTACACTCAATAGTACCAGAGAGAAATACCACCAACCAGGGCCAGGTATGAAGGTTTTACACAGGCCTTCAATTTCCAACTCGTACTATCAGAACTCATGGCGTACATTTTATCAAAGAGGAAACCGAGGCAGAGATGCTGGACCGCAAGTTGAGGTCAAGACGCCAGTCTGTAACAGAGCCCCGAGCCTCAGTTCCCCCGCGGCACAGTGAGTTCCGGAAGAAGCAGCTGGGCAAGAGGGCGGGCACATTCTTAAAAGGGCGGTCCGCGGGGGTCAAGCCGGCTGATACCTGACGCGACCCAAACGCTAGACGAATGGCCTCCCAAGCCTACCCCTCGCAAAGTGACTGCAGTGACCCCTTCACTCACCCCGGCTTTCTGATGCGCCGGGTCTGGGGAACGCAGTTGGGCGCCCGCGAGGTCGTACGCGGAAATCGGCTCAGGCCGCCGCCATCTTTCTTCCGGGAAGGGGCGAAGAAGCCCACCTGGAACCTAAGGGGAAAAAAGCATGGCCTCCGGCAAGAATCTCGAAGCCACCATCTTTCTTACGGGCGGAAGCAACCTCTGCGAGACAACCAATAGAAATGGCGCGCGGGGTCACGTGTCAATCATTCTTGGCCCAGCCCTAGTCTTCAAAGCTGCCTTGGATATCAGCTCCAGGGAGTCTAAACGCCTAGCCACTGTGTGCCTTGGGGCTCCTCCCACGGTTAACGGGCCTAACCTGCCACGCCAGTCTCCGAGTCGCGCAGGCGCCTTCCAGCCTCCGCGCCTGCGCTACTCGGCGACCTCCCGCCCGCAGCATGAAGGTACTTCGACGCGCTTGGAGGCACCGGGTGGTGCTGGGCCTAGGCGGGCTGGCATTTTGCAGCACTACTCTGTTGTACTTGGCGCGCTGCGCTTCTGAGGGCGAGACGCCCTCCGCTTCTGGAGCCGCTCGACCCCGCACTAAGGCCTTCTTGGCAGTGCTAGTGGCCAGTGCGCCCCGCGCGGTTGAGCGCCGCACCGCAGTGCGCAGCACGTGGCTGGCTCAAGAGAGGCGTGGCGGACCCAAGGACGTGTGGGCGCGCTTCGCTGTGGGTACTAGCGGCCTAGGCTCAGAAGAGCGGCGCACTCTTGAGCTCGAGCAAGCACAGCACGGGGACCTGCTGCTGCTGCCCGCCTTGCGCGATGCCTATGAGAACCTCACAGCCAAGGTCCTGGCCATGCTAACCTGGCTGGATGAGCACGTAGACTTCGAGTTCGTGCTCAAGGCGGATGACGACTCTTTTGCGCGACTGGACGCTATACTGGTGGAGCTACGGGCACGTGAGCCCGCACGCCGCCGACGCCTCTATTGGGGCTTCTTTTCTGGGCGTGGTCGCGTCAAGCCGGGAGGTCGCTGGCGAGAAGCTGCCTGGCAACTCTGCGACTATTACCTGCCCTATGCTCTGGGCGGTGGGTATGTCCTTTCTGCGGACTTGGTGCATTATCTGCGCCTCAGCCGCGAATACCTGCGCGCATGGCACAGTGAAGATGTATCGCTGGGCACCTGGCTGGCACCGGTGGATGTACAACGGGAGCACGACCCACGCTTCGACACGGAGTACAAATCTCGAGGCTGCAGCAATCAGTATCTGGTGACACACAAGCAAAGCCCAGAGGACATGTTGGAGAAGCAACAGATGTTGCTGCACGAGGGCCGGTTGTGCAAGAATGAGGTGCAGTTGCGCCTTTCTTATGTCTATGACTGGTCAGCGCCACCCTCCCAGTGCTGCCAGCGCAAGGAGGGCATTCCCTGATGTCATTGCGGGTACTGTGGCCTCTCCTGACACAGGCCAAGCTGCCTGAACAATCTGGGCAATTATCTGGGGTGAGCTTGATTTATCCAATTATTGTTGAGACCTTGGGTCTAATGTCCAGAGACAGCTTACAATGTCTAGTCCAGTGGGCGTGCTCATTATTAGTGGTCTTGTGTAAGGCCTACCTAAGGGCATCTGGTTATGGATTTGGAGGTTGCATCTGCACCCACACATACATACACTCCCTGGCCTATGTAATGCTGGAGTGTGAGGATGGGGCCTCCTCACTTGAGCTTATAGTGCCCTCATTCTGCACTCTACAGCTCACTGCTCATCTTGAATGTTCTGCACAGCCTGACCTGCAGACTGTGTTGAATTCATCTCAAAATGTTATTTGTCAAAGTTGTCTTTGTATTATTTGGGCAAAGTTTCATTCTCTTGTGTCTCCTGTTTTTAGCTTTTGTCATGGACAAGTTTGAGGTTTGACTTGATTTTCAAGTCAGCTAGCTTAGAATTTTTGTCTCTGTGGATAGAGTTTGGTAAATATAATGCAGTTTGCTTAGGGCCTATTTATAAATATTGTATGCTTGTATAGATAAGAATTTACAGAGGTGGGCAAATCTCTGGGTTCAAGGCCAGCCTGGTCTACAGAGTGAGTCCAGGACAGCCAGGACTACTCAGAGAAATCCTGAAAATGTCTTAATTTATTTTTAATTACTTAAGAAAAATACTTGTGTCAGAATTTGTATCTGTGGATTAATCTGTCAACAGCCTAAGTTGCCAACCCCACTGCTGGGTGTGTTTAAAACATAGAAGGATGTTTAAATTCTCCATCTCTCTTTCAGGTTTATACATAAGTCAGTCCCTTTGTGTGTGTGTTTGTGTGTGTGTTTGTTTCTGAACAGACATTACTTGTAAGGCTTTTCAGGAAGCATGAGCCTATGAACTGTAAGGCACTTGTCTATTACAAAGTTTGTCTTTCAAAATGGTTTATTCACACCAACATTCTTTACACTATCATGCTAATATAACAGCTAAACAGCTGTCTCACCTAGCAGAGAACAGGAAATGCTGCTGCAGGTTCCACTGGGTAATCCAGTGAATGCATTTCAGAATCCAGTGAATACATTTTCCCAGCCACCACGCACTGTGAAGTCCTTCAGTTGTCAATTGTAGTAGACTGAAAGGAGATCCTTGAGAGTGTAAGCCAGTGGCTAGTCAATGGCAGGCTTAAGTGGACTGAGTAACAGCTCCTGAAGTTCAGGGGTGACTGAGGCCAGGGCCACCTAGAGAGTTTCAAGTCCTCTTGATATCAACACAGAGGCTATAGAAGCCTTGTCACAAGAGCATTGACAGTATGATCTTAGAGACCATCTCTAACATTCTCATTTTTGTATCATTTCATTGAGCAGCACCTTTGGTTTACTCTCATTTCAATGCCACCTAAGGGTTAGATCATTAGCATATCAAGGCCTATCCTGGGCTAGGCACTTATGGTGAGCTGCAGGGTGGGCTGCCAGTGGACTTGCTTCTGAGGCATAGCTCTTAGCAAAGTTGCCTGGTGTCAAACTCAAGCATATTATTTCGGGTCACACAAAAAGGCTTTTGAGTTACACAACATGGTTTTTGTTCTCTACAAGCTTCCACAAAGACCTTCAGATTCCTGTGTCTCAGCAAAATTCCAGGAATCCACACCTGAGTTGAGACTTCCTAAATTCTCTCTTAAGGAAATAATATTTGTTACCTAGCATAGCACCCCAACCACACAAACAGTATTACATACCCCCTTTTAATGTTTAAAAAAAAATGAGTATTCTTAGAAAAATATAATAAGATGGCTCCAGGATAAATGGACAATCTGAGCTGGCCTTGACCTCCAGCTTTGGATGATGTTGCAATCTCTGCTATTTTAATGGGACTGATATTTGTTTTTTTTGTTTTTATGAGACAGGGTCTAGAAATGTAGCCTAGACTAGACTTGAACTCAACCCTGCCTAATCTCTTGACTACTGAGATTATAGGTATAAGACACCGAACCTAGTTTACATTAACTTTTTGTTTGTTTGGTCTGTATAGTCTGCGGATATTCCTGCCTAGCCTTTGCTGTCCCGTTTGGGGAACTGGATGGAGAGAGACTTGCCCTGATTACCTGTCATTTATTTGCTTTTAAATTTTCAGGCTGTAAACTTGAACATGTTTTGATTCTTCCTTTTCCTTTTGTTTGTTTTCCCCCACCCCCTGTTGTTTTAAACCATACCCAGTTGGGTTATTTTTTTTTTAGAAAATATTCAGGACTGGAGTGTGAAACCCTGGGTCTGAAAGATGGGTGTTCTTATCAATGACTGATTCTCCTATCTTCATAATATAAGGTGGTCAAGTCTTGAGACATATAAGAGTCATATTAGGAGGCTCAATACACTTTCTGCTGGGCTCCTGAAGAGAGGGTGAACTGCCGGGTGTATACATTGTTTGTACATAGAGTGTGAGATCGAATGGGGTTTAAAGGCGCCATGACCTCATAGGACTGGTGTTTTTTTAGGGATGTTGATAGCAAGACCAAGATTCATACCAATCATTTTCACCTAGGATGTTTCGCCTGAACCTTGGAATTGCATGAGGAATAGTTAGGTCTCTCTCTTTCAAAATGAGCTTGAAGAGACTAAACAACATGAAGGACCATATGGCCATAGGCAGCCAGGATTCAAGCTAAGGGCTCCAGATGACTGTACAAAAAACACAGCACAGGTGCCAAAAATCCACAACTTATGTAAGCTGTAGAGATGATTCAGTCAGTAAAGTATTTACCGTGTAATCATCAGGACCATAGTTTGATCTCACCCCCTGAGACCCATGTAAAAAGCCAGGTGTAGTGATATGTATGGGCTTGTAATCCTAGTACCAGGGGAGGCAGAAACAAGAATGTCCAGCCAGGCTATCAGTGATCCCCAGGTCCCAAAACAAGACCCTGTGTCAAAACAAGGTGGTCAACTCCTAGGAATACTCAAAGTTGACCTCTATTTAGCCCCCAAACATGTGCACACTGATACACAACAAACCCCATACTTATTTTTGCTAACTGTTCAGAGTGTTGTGTGGTACTGTTCCTAGGGAGACATCTACTCACCACTACCACCACCACCACCACCACCCCCAAAAATGGCAAACCAAAGTGAAAGATAACACTAAGATCTAATTTGGTGAACCTGTGGGTTGCTGGGGTTACTTAATAGGAATATATGAGTGAAGGGTTATTTACATAATCAGATATCACTCAAAAACAGCTGCATCACCAACAGCTCACCTCAATATAGGTGACAGCTTATGAAAGCTGAAAATCTGAGGTACACTGTAAAACTTACAGGCAGTTCCACATGTTGGAGAGTGTCTTTCCAAGCATAGTTAAGTTGGCCCAAGGGCCCTTGCCCCAGCCCCGGCTCACTCAGTTGATCTCAGCCTCTTTATCTTTTCTAGGTGACTTAAGTTTGTCTGAGAACTTTTTTTTTTTTTTTTTTTTTTTTTTTGCTTTTTGAGACAGGGTTTCTCTGTGTAGCCCTGGCTGTCCTGGAACTCACTCAGTAGACCAGGCTGGCCTTGAACTCAGAAATCCGCCTGCCTCTGCCTCTCAAGTGCTGGGATTAAAGGCGTGGGCCACTACCGCCAGGCGAGAACGTTTTTTTTCAGCAATCCTTACACCTTACATATGCTTGGGGAGGGAGAGACCTAATGAATCTAGTCAGTTAGAACGACTTCCTAAAGCTTTGGGGTTGCTAACTTCCAGGATTTAACGGTTTCCTTACAAGTTACAATGTTTTATCTCCCTTCAGATTATTCTTCGTTTTAAAAGAGCTTTCTTCCAAGATCGAATGTTTTAAATGAGAGGAAACTGCTAACCAACACAGGAAAAACCTTTAAAATGGGTCCAAAGCTAGTTAGTAAAAGTATTATCTATGTAAACCTGACAACCACCTGAACACAAGTAGGAAGCTAGATGTGGTAGTACACATTTGTAATTGTGGTACTCTATGGCAAAAATGGAGGTAAAGCAGGGAGAACCACTAGAAGCTCACAGACTAACAAAACTTGTCTCAATAAGATGGAAGGTGAGAACTGACTTCCAAAATATGTTCTCTGATCACCATAAGTACATCATGGCACAAGCATGCTCTCTCATACACCCACCATCTAGACACAAATAGTTAAGTGGGCCTTGGCCCAGTACATATGTTTAGGGAGGTCATAAGACTTTAGGATTTGAACAGGGCACTGGAAGTGCCAACATGCAACTAATTTGGGCCTATTGAAGTCAATATTTCATATCCAGTCTTAGGGGTATTTTGAAGTAAACACTTATGGTTTCTTTAGAAAGTCAGTTATGTCAGATGGTTGTTTAGTGGGGTAGACACATAAAGGAATATTTTCCTGAAGCAGACACAGATGAAAGGATATTTTACGAAAGCAAGTACATGAAAGAATGCATGTTGAAGTGCTAATGACACGCATATATTGGTTCGCCTTATGTTACTAAGCTCCACTTATGATGATGCTGTGGGGGGGAAACCTCTGGTGGTGCTCTGATGGCTACTTGCCACTTCCAAGGACTTGGGCTGATTGACAGGGTGATGTCAGCTGATACAGACTCACATAGAGTTTTGCTAAGATAGACTCACATGGTGAGACAAGACCCATGGGAGGACACATGTCTGGAGAGCGTATAAATAGGACCCAGTGTACAATGACAGTAGGCTTACATAGCTAGGTTTGCAGCACTTCCTGGTCTTGCATCTTCTTCACTAATCATCTCTTCATTAAGAAAGGCATGGCAAAGAACTTCTGGCATCCCTTTTGATCCCGATTGCTCCTGCTGACTTGAGCCAATTCGACAGAAACCTGGCTGTCTCTGCTAGGTCATGCCAACACTACTAAACTAGACTGCTGATATATTCCTGAAGTGTTTGCAAGTGGATCAAGCTGCTGATTCTTGTAAACTGAACTGCTGATTTCCCAACAACACAGATTAGATTTGCTCCAAAGAACAATTTCTAAACAGGTCTGCTTCCCCATATCTTAATAACCTTTCTTTTCCACTGCCTCTGGTGGGTAGTGGGCTAGAAGAGAGATTAAAGCATTTAAGATCCTTTATTAAAATCAGAGCTGAGAAAAAATTAAGCCCACAGTGTTTTGTTTTAATTTTTTGTTTTTGAGCCATACTGTTCCACCAGACTATCTTCAGACTCACTATGTAGTCTGGGTTAGTCTTGCATATGCAATGACTTTCTGCCTCAGTATTTGCATTCTGTAATTATAGGTATCAGCCACTGTGTCCACCTCTAAAACTACAAGGGTCTTTGTGAGTGCAATTGTCAGCAGGGTAACAGTCCAAAGAAGGCAAGAAGGTAGTTCAGTTCAACACAACTAAGTAATAGTGTTGATTAAAACTTTGGGTGTCTGACCCCAAGTAGTTTATTTTAGGCATATTTAAAGACAGAACAATTTGGTGAAAATTTTCCTGGTAATAATTTACTCAAACCCATGTGTACAATAAAATGTGGCTATACATGTGATATCTTCCATGAAGATGGATTCTATAGCTCAGCAGTAGTAGAGTACACCTTTATTCACAGGAGGCAGAAGCAGGCAGATCTCTGTGAGTTCAAGGCCAGACTGGTCTACAGAGTGAGTTCTAGATCAGCCAGGGCTATAGAGAGTAAACCTGTCTCAAACAACAACAAAAACAAAACAACAAAAAGGCTTGTTCTATAGATTGACTAAATGTGACATCTTCCCATAAAGATAGACTCTACAGATTGACAAGCTCACAATAATGGTCTGCGAAGGATCTGATGCCCTCAGATAGCACAAAGGACCCTAACACTCCTGGCCTTTTGGGCAGATAACAGGTATCCCTGTTATGTATTTCTCTCTTTGAAGGGATAACCCTATGTTTAACATTTCTGGTTCCCCTAATGCTTATCTGTGGGCACAAGAACCTCCACACCTCTCAGATAAAGCATTAAATTTTAAAGCTGAATAGAGCCGATTGTGGTGGCATACACCAGTAGAATTTGCTGAAGAAGGCAGAGGCAGGAGGATCTCAAGTTCAAGGACAGCCTAAGCTACACATTTTGGGGCTGGAGAGCTGGCTCAGTGGTTAAGAGCACCGACTGTTCTTCCAGAAGTTCTGAATTCAATTCCCAGCAACCACATGGTGGCTCACAACCATGTAATGGAATCAGATGCCCTCTTCTGGTGTGTCTGAAGATAGCTACAGTGTACTCACATACATACAGTAAATCAATCAATCAATCTTTAAAGCTGGCTAGAGCACAACCCGGCTAAATTTTCCCATCAATGCTGTGGGCAACATGATGTCATAATTGAAAGGATACCTCAAAGCTAAAGACTATCCCTCTGTGACTTGCAGTCATCTACTTTCTGTGGTCCTGGAGCCAGCAGACAGGCTATGAATTTCAGAGCCCAGGCTGCCTTCCAATGATACCTTTACCTTGGTTTTGGGTCACTTTACTACTTCTCATGGTACTAGCCACAACTTCTTAAGTCTTGTAAGATAAAGTGTCACATCCTGGGAGGTAATGGTCATCCCAGGTGATCTCTTTATATGTTCCATTGTATATCAAAACACCACAACCAAGGCAGTGGACAAAAGAAAGCATTTTATTGGGTGTTTCCTTACAGTTAGAGTGTTAGGCTGTAACCATTGTAGCAGGGAGTATGGCAGCAGGTAGACATGGCACTAGAGCAGTAGCTGTGAGCTCATGTCTGATCCACAAGTTACATGCAGATAGGGGGGAGGAGGAGAGAGAGACTGGACCTGTTATGGGCTTTTGAAACCTCAAAGTCTACCCTCACTGACATACCTCCTCCTACAAGGCCACACATCCTAGTCCTTCCTGAACAATCTGCCAACTAGAACCAAACATATGAACACATAGAGACCATTCATATTCAAACAATCACATGGTCTGATCCCAGGAAGTAGCTAAGCTCTTAGGAGACAAGAATGTCAGACAACTAAGCTCATCTTCATAGGGAACTTAGGACCAAATTGGTACATCTCCTAAATGGCCTCTGAGATCTTACCTGTGGGACCCACTGGATGAGGTATTGGTATCAGGCCTGGTTTTGTTGGGGTTTCCTTTTGTTCATTTTTCTTTCTTTTTTGGGGGGGCAGGAGAGGGTGTTTTTGT